GCACGCCCGAGCATTCGGTCGCCTGTTCGGGCTCTGGACAGCCCCGTCCACTTCCGGGGAGAGCCAGAGCCTGGACAGGGCACTGCTGCCCTCGGGATGGAGCCCCCAGCTGGCGCAGGGAGTCCGCGGAGGGGCCGCAGTCAGTCGGGTGCTCCTGACGTGGGGGGGGCTGGAGTCCCCCCAAATTGTTGTTCTCCGAGTTCAAAGGTCAGGCCCTGTCGCGTCGCAGAGCCCAGTCCCGCCGGCCTCCCCCGGTGGGCAGTGCTGCACCCACCCCTACCTCCAGCCCCCAACTTGCCTCGCACTTCAGGGTCACAGTGTCCCTGGGATGATCGCCCAGGATGACGTCACCATGGTGACGGGGCAGTGGCTGCTGGCTGGGGGTCCGTCTCTGGGACCCTCTTGCCTTGTGGGGAGCTGGAACATGGAGAATAGTGGGTGGGCGGGACGGGGCCACCTCCTGCCCCAGGGGAGCTGCGATGCCCTGGCCGTGGGCCCCGGACAGCTGCCGGCCAACTGCCAGAGACGATGGGCAGGCAAATGCATTGCCAGGGACGACAGGCCCTGCCCGGGGGGCTGTGAGCCCATCGGCTCCGCTCTGGGAGGGAAAGTGGGGCCCGGTCGCCCCTCGGAGCAGGGCAGAGCTGGGGGGCACCCCGGGCAGGCCGTCACCTGCACTGCCCACAGGTACCTTTGCCCTGTTGAGACGCTGACCCCAGCTGGCACTCGGCACCCCCTGCCTTGGCCTGGGTGGGGGTGCAGGGCCTTCGGTGCCCACCGAGCCTGGGGGATGCCTGGGAAACCTACTTACCCAGATGCCTCATGGCCCACAGACCCCCTTCCTGGGCAGCAGAGGGCCTCAGCCACGGGCCGCCTCAGCCCATTCCCAAGGGGGTCCAGGAAGCAGCCGGTCCAGGGGACAGGCTCAGGCACCTCGGAGCCCCCTCTGCAGAGCCCCGACTGTGTAACTGCGCCTGGAGGCCCTGGGCCTGGGCGGACGGGATGGCGGCTCCCAGCCACCATCACCGGCGCAGTGAGATCTCCAGTACCGTGCGGGGGGCTGGGCTGGGCCAGCGGGAGGGTCTTTGGGGTGAAGGTCAGTGGAGTGGGCAGGCCCAGTGGCCGGCGTGCTGCGGGGGGCCTCAGGCGTCCCTGAGCAGGTTTCAGGCAGAGCCAGAACCGGAGCGGTGCATATTGGTGAGGGGTGCGGGCGTGGAGGTGGTCCGGACTCCATGTCTGGGCCACTGCTGTTCCCTCGCTCTTCGGTGTGGACTAGGCCCAGGCCGTACCCTGGAAGAGGCTGCCCTTGGCCCCACAGCTCAGCCACGGTGGCAGCTGTCTGTCGCCTCAGGCGAGGTGCTGGGAAGGTGCGGGGCCTAGTGCCTGTGCATGCCCCCCCCCAACACCCACAAACCATCTTCCTGCCAAGGTCCGTTCGCTTTGTCCCTTCAGTCACCCCGGGCATTGCTCTCAGGCACCACTGGTTGCTGGGTATCGGCACCGTTGCACCCCGAGGCGTCCAGGGACACCAGCACCTTTTCTCTGGGGCCTCGTCCTTGGCTTGCAGGGTGCAGGGTATCGCTAGCTGGTGTTGCCCTGAGTCATGCTAGTTGGGGTGTGAGGCCCAGGCACCAGGGATCCCTCGGAGCAGGCTCGGGGAGGGGGAGGGAAGCAGGCCGTGTAGACGCCCAAGCGTCTTGGCTCTCAGAGGGACTCGGCGGGGGGCACTGGGGTGGCTCCTGCCCAGTGGCTGCTGCTGGGGTTCTGGGAGGTGCCGGGCTGTGAGTCAGGCAGCAGAGCCACGCCCCGAGTCTGCCCCTGTGGTCAGGACACACCTTACCCACAGGGCGGGCGGCATGCACAGACGCTGAGTGGCCGGCCAGCCGGGCGCCCTCCCGATGCCCCCAGACCTGTCTCGTCTGGGTCGCGTCTGAGTGAGCTTCCTGCCCCCGCTGAGCGCTCGGCACAGAGGCCGCGGCGAGTGATGGGGCCGGGCTGGGTGTCCACTGCGCTTGGCCATGACCTCCAGGCCTCAGTCACGCCTCCCTGAAGTGTCTCGCGGGGCCAGCTGGGGCACTGGGGCTCCTGGTTTGGGTTTACTCGGGGCGTCACGACCCCATCACCAGTGCACTCTGTGGTGCCGGTTGGGAATTGCAACCAGGGCCCCACCCCGGCCCCCAGGCCCGCCCTGTCCTGCGAGTGGACCGGTCAGTGCCTGACTTCCCACTGCCTCCTGCAGGGTGTTGCTGGGTGGTCTGGGAATCCACCCGTTTTCCTCGCTGAGTTTTAGGTTTCCCCACCGTAAATTGGAGAATTTGGACCAGATGTTCCCTGGCACTTTCCCAGGCTTTCCCTTCTGCCGGGCTGCTCAGACTGGTCCTAGTCAGCGGGGCCAACCCAGATGAGCGGGGCAGTGGGTCTTGGTGCACGGTCTCCATGTTGCTGCCACAGTGCCACCAGGCACTGGCCCTTGGTGTTGAGGGAGCACCTCATGGGTACCCTCTTCAACTTGGCTTTTCCAGTTCCCTACCCTGTCGGCCGGGAATGACATCTGACCCCCCCCCCCCCCCCCCCCGCATAGGGCAGCCTTGTGGGCAGGATTGCCCACCTGTTCCCCCTCCCCCGGACTCAGTGGAGCAACTTGGTCAGGCCACAGCTGGGCAGCCCCAGGGCCTCTGCCCGAGGGGCATCTCTGGAGAGACCCCTGCCAGGTCTGGGGTGCACACTCCGGGCGGAGGGGGGCCGCGGGAGGAGGCTGTGCTGGGCCACCTGCTCAGTTCTGCTCTCTGGGTGGCCCCCCACATGGCCCCTTCCCTGGCCACTCCACAATGCTGAGCTTCAGGTGTGCCTGCGAAGGCGGTCGTCAGGGCCCCCATGCAGAGGAGTGCAGGGGCATCGGGTGCCTGGACACCACATAGGCGCGTTGCTGTGGGCAGAGGGAATGTGGCTACCCTCAGGGTCTTAGGGCCAGAGAGACCTGCGGATTTGCTGTCCGTCCATCTCTTGACCCACCCATCCACTGTCTGCCTACCCCATCCCTCCGTCCTTCCATCCATCCACCCACCCACCCACCCACCCACCCACGCTCCATTCATCTGTTTGCTCGTCATCCCATCTGTCTCTACATCCACGTCTGTTTATCATCCATCCAGTCTTTCATCTGTCATCTGCTCATCCTTCTGTTCATCTGCACATCCAAATCATCTACTACCCACAACACCCATCCACCATCCATCCATCCTCCACCCATCCACCATCCATCTGTCCATCTACCCACCCGCCCCCCTGTCCAGTCATCTGTTCACGCATCTGCCCACTGCTCATCTGCCCACTCGCCCAACCGCCATTCCGCCCACATACCCACCATCTGTCCACCCACTCACCCACCTGTCTGTCCACTCACTCACCTACTCATGTTCTTATCCACCCACCCACCTGCAGCCCACCCATCCGTGACAGCCCTGCAGCACCCCTGAGTAGAAGGCCCGTGAGTGCGCTGTCGCTGTCTTGCATGTGAGAGGGGTGTTTGGGAGCTGGCTCCATCCCGAAAGGTCATTCATTGGCGGCTCGGAAGTCCTTGGAGTCTTCTGGACTTTTCCTTTACTGCCTGTCTTTGGCTTCTAGTTCTGACCATCTCGAGGTGTGGCCCTCCCAGAGCTGCTGCCACTGCTGGCTCTAGAAGGGGCATTTTTCACGCTCTTGTTCAGCTGTCCGGGGTCCCACTCATACCCCTGAAGAAATCCCATCTGCTGGCAGTGCCAGAGCCCCGCAGCCTTTGTTCTTGCAGCCCTCGCTGGCTGGCTGCACGTGCTTCGTAATTAATCACTTGCTGGCCTCCTTTATGCGGAGAAGAAAGGGCGGAACGCTGCCAGGGAGCTGGGTAGCGGCCTGCGTGATTGGCTGCTGGCTGCCGCTGTGAACGAGTTTACTAATCTCGCCATTGGACTCCAGCTCTGGCTGGTGGCGACTGATAAGGTTTGTGGGCAGGCGCCGCGAGGGACACTGGCGATTAGGGCTGGCCTGGTCACCAATGTGGCCGAATCCTGGGCCCAGCTGAGCCCTGGTTCCCCTGCAGCGGGGGATCTGTCTGCACCTTTGTTCTTCCGGTTCACTGGTGCCGGTCCCCAGGTGCACGCCTGAGTTCTGGTTCCAGGGAGACCCGGGGTGACACGGAGCCGCATGGACAGCCAGCCTGAGGGGATTCTTCCCGGGAGTTGAAGGTTCAGAGTGTGCATGCGTGTGGTGTGCGTGTGTGTGTGTGCGTGTGCGTGTGACAGAGCAGGACACAGCCTGGAGACCCCTGGAAAACCAGCAAATGTCCCCGAGGTTAGCTTGTGGTCATCATGGGCGTGCTCCTGTTCCCAGCCCCACCCGTGGACACACAAGCACCCCAGAGCCACAGCAGAGCACAGGTGTCATGTGCAGGTAGCTGGCACCGTGTGGCCTTAGTGCACATGCTGTCCCTGGCACACGCTTCTGCTCTGCATGCGTGTCTGCTGCGTGTGCCCCCATGTGAGGGTCTCTGATTCCTGGCCGCCTGACCTGGGCTGACTGCTTGGGCGGTTCCCCATCTGGCTCCCCCACAGCCCCTCTCTGCCTTCCAGAACCTTCCTTTGACAAGTCCAGGTGTGGCAAGGCTGTCCTGCCACTGTGTCTGGAGCTCTGGGGCTCTCCTGGGCCTTCTGCACAGTCGCTGTGAGCAGGGGTCTGTGTCGATACCACCCGGAGGAAGGGGCTGGGGCCATCCCCCTGGTTGCTGCATGCTGGCCCGTTTCCCGACTGAGGAGGCCAGCCCCGCCCTGAACCTCGGCACTGTGATTTCCAGAGCAGCGGTCCCCCCGAAGATGGGTCCTAGTGGGGTGGGAAGTGACCCCGGAAGGGGCTCAGGGTCAGGCCTGTGAGCCCCACTTCTTGGGGCACTGCCTGCTGCCCTCGCAACCAGGTGGGTGTGCCACAGTGGAGGAAGCCATCTGTGAAACCGCGCCCGTCTGTCTCCCCAGGTCATCTCGGCCCTGTCGAGACTTTCCCATCACAGCATCGCGCAGAGCAAAGGAATCAGGTGAGCCCCACGGTATGCGGGCAAGGGCTGCTCTCAGGCCTATGGAAGCTCCCCCGGGGCTTCAGCTCTGCACACATGTGTGCATTAGCCTGCCGGGGCCTGTGGTGGCAGGTCAGCCTAGCGGTATCCCCACGGTCCCCGCCCTAGGCTCCTCCCCCACAGGGCTCGTGGAGCTCCTGCATCCCCAGGGCTCCCCCCTCCCCTCAGAGCCCCTGCCCCGGCCCCTCGCGCCCTCCTCCGCCCCACGACCCGCAGCACCATTTTCCTCCTTGATCATTCTGCATGAGCTCTTTTCCCCCGACACCTGGGGGGCCTGGGTTTACTCCTGGCGGGGCTAGGGGGAACCCTGTGGGGTGCCGGGAATCAAACCCGGGTCATCGTGTGCAAGGGCAGCGCCCTGCCTTCCGTCCTGTCTCTGGTCTGGCCTCCTGTGCGGGTTTGCTGGGGAGGGTGCAGGGTGTCCCTCCCCACCCGGCTCTCCAGCCCTGGCTGTGGCCTGCGTCTGTCCCGGCAGGGCCCGGAGCGCGGGGCTTTCCTGCCTAGTCCTGGCCAGAGTCCCTGGGACTGTGCAGGCCCCTCCCGCCCCAGAGCCTGCTCTTCCGAGAAGGGGCCGGAAGTTCCTGGCTGAGCTGCTGAGAAGCGCTGCAGCCCTTGGGGGCCTGCAGGGACCAGCCCTCTGCCCAGGCTCCTCCCCCGGGTGGCTCCTGCCTGCTGAGGAGCCCCAGTCCCCTGGGGCTGCAGCCCTCCTGGTCTCTGGTCAGGCTCCTCTGGTGCTTCCTGTCTGCTGGGTCCCAGCCCAGCCCCTTCAGCCTCCGCCCCTACCCCGAGCACATTGGTCCCCACCCAAGTGCTGGGTGCTGCGTCTGCCCACCCGCTGCCTGGCACACTGATTTGAGTCCACAGCTCCCAGCTCAACTCTGCGTCCCGGCGCCCTACTACGAGAAGCCCTCCTGATTTTCTGGGCCTTTCTGGCTCCCTGAGTCTGGCCGCACTGCTGTTCTGTGTTGCCTTCAGGGTGGGGTCGCAGTGGCCTGACCCTGGGCCAGGTCTGGCTGGCTGGCCCATGGGTGGCTGAGCACAGAAAGACGATCCCCAGCCAAACAAGGCAGCCTGGGCGGGCTGCACCCTGTGACCCACCCCATCATGAGCCCCAGGCTGTGTTCTTTTGCTTTGCTTTTGGTTTCATGGGCCACACCCCACAGTACTCCCAGCTCTGCCGGGATCCATCAGGGACGTGCCTTCCCCCTGTCCTCACTTTGCTTCAGACCTGCAGGGCAGCCCCCAGCGGTGCCTCCTCTGAATCCCCCACCCACCTGGGTGAGGCGCGAACCTGGATCTCACTGCCTGGCCTGTTCAGGCGCCTCTGCGCCCCCACACCACTCTCTGAGGCCACAGCGGGAACCAGGCTTGGCCTCGGTGTGGGCTCATGCCCGGGGCGTGCCCCTGCCCCACTCCCCCGTCCCAGGCAGGCCCAGGCTGGGACTCCGAGGTCAGTGCTCAGGACCCGCTTACCCAGGGAGCCCCGGCCGCGTGTTTCGCACCTTGCACTCCTGCCCTCAGAGGATTGACCTTGCCTCGCCCCCTCAGCTGCCCCGCCTCTACTTCTCAGCCAGCGAGGACGGGGGTGCCTTGGAGTAGGCGACCCTCAGGAGCCCAGCTTCTGGGACTCTGGCAGCAGTGTGGGGGGTCTGGGGGCCTGGGAGTCCTGCTGTGTGGAGCTGGGGACGTGGGCCGGGCCGCAGGTCTGAGGCGAGTCCACTCAGATCTGCTGTACCTGGAGGGTGGGGTGGCTGGTCGGGTATGTCCCCAGCCCTCCCCCCAGAGACAGCCGCCCACTCCGCCCACTGGGGTCTCCTGGGTCCGGGCGGCTGTGACCCTCAGCGCGGCCACCTCGGGCCCACACAGGACTCCAGCGCATGCTGACCGGCTTCCTCGTCTCCTCCAGCCGCCCCGGTGGGGTCTTGTGGGAATGGGCCGGGCAGCACCCACCCCCACCCACCACCCATTCCCCGTGCCCAGCCTTTCACCCTGGCCACTGCTCTACCTCTGCCACCTCATCTCTCGCCTGGCCCTCAGCCCGCAGGCCCGTCCCCCTTGCGTGTTCTCCCAGACTCTCTGTCGTCTGTCAGCCCTCCCGGCCATCCATCCTTCCCAGCGTCCACTCACCACCCGTTCGGTGTCCGCTGCTGCACCGTCCATCTTTCCATGCCTCTTTCTCGTCCTCGTCCGTCCTCTGCCTTTTCACGCACCCGTCCATCCCCCTGCTGTCCATCTGTCATCACCCACCCTCCCCTGCCCAGTCAATGCCGTCCACTCACTCACTGTCCCCACCTATCACGTACTGTCCCTCCTGTCACCACCCACCCACCCAGCACCTTCCCGGTGCCCGGCAGGTGCTGGCAGCGGGGCGAGCCTGGCCTTTCTGGGGGAGGGGGTGGTCCGTGATGGCACCTTGGCCCCGTCCCTGCCTGCTGGCTGCTTCTGTGGCCCCATTTCCGGGAGGGCTGAGCCCCCTGCTCCTCTGCAGAGCAGGCGCTTGTGGAGGGTGACAGCCCCTCTGTCCTCTCCGCAGGCCTTTCCCCTCGGAGGACACGGTGGAGAATGACGATGACATCTACCGCAGCCTGGAGGAGCTGGCCGAGTAAGGGGGGCCCTGGGTCCCTGAGGGCTGGGGACCCCTGCGGGATCCCCCGGCTGAACCCCTGCCGTGGAGGTGGGCGAGGCTCCTGGAGGCTCCTGTGCGGGTGACTGGAGCTGGGGATGCAGGAAGGGGGCTCTGGGGTGGGTTCTAGGTGGCTCGAGTCAGCCCCGGTCAGCACCTCGCCCAGGCCGCCCGGAGTGCGGGTCACCGCCTCCCGGCCACCTTCTCCGCCTGGCACCTGCCGACTCTCCTCTCCCCCACCCTCAGCCAGGTGCCGCCCGCTGGCCTCTCCTTCCTGCTGCCACCCGGAGGGGCACTGTGGGGCCCATAGTGGGGGGCGGACGGCTGCTGGGATCCCGGGAAGGCTCCTGCAAGGGAGCCTCCGTGACGGGAGGGGTGACCCTGGCTAGATGTCTGTCCTGGTGCGGCGGGGGCGGGGTTACCCCATCTGACCTGCTGCCCCCCACACAGCGAGCATGACCTGGGCGAGGACATCTACGACTGCGTCCCTTGCGAGGACGAGGGCGACGACGTGTACGAGGACATCATCAGGGTGGAGGTGCAGCCGCCCATGGTGAGCCGCGAGGGCCGCCACACCGAGGCCCTCTGCCTGGGACCCTCAAGCAGCCCCTCTGCTGCGTCCTGCGCAGGGGTGCCCGGTCAGCCCTCCGGGCCCCCGGACGGGCAGGGACCCGATTTCCCAGCCATGACTGCGGCGTTTGCGCCATCCCCCGGCTTTCCGGTGGGGGAGGGGCCGGCCTGGGCTCTGAGAGCTGCTTGCTGACGGGGGCCGCGTGCGGCTGGTGCTGAGATGTGGGGGCTCCATCTCCCCTGGGGAGCCTAGTGGCTTGTGCCCAGGAGCGTGGTCACTTTGGCCCAGCAGCCTGGCCATTGACCGTCTGAGAGGCTGTCGGGCCGCGCACTGCTGAGGCTCCCAGAGCTGCCAGAACCCACCCTGCACTGGTGGGGGCGGGGGGATGGGGGGAGCCTGAGGGCAGCCCAGTGCCAGCCGCTGTCCTTGGTCCTGAAGTATCATGGCCTGCCCACCCCGGGGGTCCCTGGGGCGGGGGCGGGGCGGCGTGTCTGCTGCCGTGCGTAGCACCGGCCTGAGGCCTGGAGCTGAGCAGCATGCGTGTTTCCCTCCTGCCGTGCCTGTCCGTGGGGCCGGCGACAGGGACAGTGCCTGGCAGGGCGGCTCAGAGGGAGGCGCCTGCGGGATGAGCTCTGGCCCAAAACCTGGTCACATTGGTGCGGGAGTGGCCAGGGCGGAGCCGGGGGGCTGGGCTGGCTTCCAAGAGCCCCAACGCCCAGGTATGGTGGCGGCTGGCCCAGCCATGCTCCTAACTTCTGCCATTCGTTTATTCACATGCCTCAGGTCAGGTACTTGCAGGTGAGTGCTGGGGGCCCGGCCCATCCTCCAGCACCCCCTCCCCTGCCTTCCGTGTACAGCAAGCTTGGGGCCCCGTCCCCAGGTCTCTGCACTTGGGGCTTAGGTCCTTGCCACCCCCAGGAAGTCCCACATCATCCCGGCCTGAGTGGGAAGGGGGGTGGCAGGAGTCCCGCACTCACGGCCCAGCGGCCCAGCCCCAGGACCTCGGGCGTGTGGGCACTGCACCCACTGCTGCTCTACCCCATCTTCTCCCGGACGCCTGCCGCACATACGTGTCCTGCTGGCCACAGCCTCACCGGGACACATCACAAGGGTCCTTCAGGGCCTCACCCCATCTCACCCTCACCCCAGGGCCCCCAGCTGCACCGGCTTCTAGAAGCTTCCATATGGGATGGGAAGGGCGGGGCCCTCGGAGTCCCCGCTGACTCCCGCTGGCGGCCCCGTCCTCCTGCAGAAAATGGGCATGAGCCGGGACGACAAGCGCAGCCGCTGCCTGCTGGAGATCCAGGAGACCGAGGCCAAGTACTGCCGCACGCTGGAGGACATCGAGAAGGTGCCGCCCCGTCAGCCGCGAGCCCCGCGCCCCTCCAGGCTGAGGCCTCGGCTGCCCTCTGACGGCTGCTCGCCCCCAGCCCTCCCTCCTGGCTGTCTCCTGCCCCAGCGGGGGGTTAGCGGCTGGCCTCCAGAGTGGCCTTCCCTGTTCACGTCCCTCGGGACGGGAGTTGATGGGTCACTCAGGCCGGGACTCCGGTGACCCTGGGGCCGAGCGTCTTTGCTGGCGGTTTTGGGGTGCGCAGCGCGAACTGGCATGAGAGGGCGCGGGCAGGTGCTGCCCCTCCGCCTCGTCCTCCCGTCGGAGAGGCCCATCTCGGGGGTCCCCACCGTGGTGCCCCCAGCCCTGTGGCCTTGAGCCTTGCCCCGTTGTGGGGGGACGGGTACTGGGCCCGCATGGAGCCTCCTGGGCCAGCCCACGTGCCCACCCACGGGGGGTGCTGACCCACCTCCTGCTTCTTGTCCTCCGCAGAGCTACGTGGGCCCCCTCAGGCCGCTGCTGAGCCCCGCGGACATGGCCGCCATCTTCATCAACCTGGAGGTGAGAGGCCATTGGCGGGGACGCTCCCTGGGGGGCACACGTGCTCCCCACTGCCCTGGGCTGGGGCCACCTGGACCGGCCAGGTGGTGGGATGGGGGAACACCGGCAGCAGCTCCCATTTTCTCTCAGCCACAGTGCTCCCGCCCTGTCCCCCTGGGCCCCAGACCCAGTTTACTCTGCCCGGATCACCCGGGGACTGTTGGCCACACACACAGGAAGCGGAACGGGGGGTGGGGGGGGCGGGGGGCTGGGGAGCTGTGTGAGGGGAGCAGGTCCCGAGGTTGTGTCTGCAGCCCAGGGACCGTCCCTCAGGGCCCGTGAGCCACACACTGTGATGGGGGTGGGGGGGCTGGGGCCTGGGGCTGCTGCTCCCCATCCCGACACAGCGTGGGGGCATGGGCCCGACTGCCGCGTGGGCAGGTGGGGCTGCTCACAGGGCCCTTGTCCCCAGGACCTGATGAAGGTGCACCAGAGCTTCCTGAGGGCCATCGATGTGGCCATGCTGGCGGGCGGCGGCTCCCTGGCCACCGTCTTCCTGGACTTCAAGGAGCGGTGAGTGGGGTCCCATCACTGCTGGACGCACTGTCCACGCTCTGTGCAGGGCCACTTGCTGCCTGTGCTGAGCAGCCCCTTTGCTCCGGGGACCCTGGGGGCTGAAGGACCCTGGAGTGTGGTGGGGGAGGGTGCTGCCTGTGACCCAGTGGGGTGCCCCGGGCCTCGGGCTGGGAGGGACATGGAGGCTGAGGCTGACTGCCCATGTTGAGTTGGGGGCAGTGTTCTCTCCTGGAGGTCAGCTCCGGGCAGGAGACAAGGGCGGGGCCTGAGCTATGGGGTGTGGAGCCCCTGGAGGCTGAACCCCCCTCCCGGATTAGCTGGGGATTTGACTGGAAGTAGCTGCTGAGGGTCTGTGCTTGCAGAGACGCAGAGTTTGCCTCTTGGGGGGTTGCAGGGTGCTGCCAGTGTGGGGTCCTGTCCCTACCCCTCGTACCTGGCCGTTAGTTCTTAGAGGTGTCACTGGTGAGAGCTGAGTTGGGGTTGAGGGGCTCTGGGGGGTGGTAGGTGGGCCCCAAGACCCCTCTCATGCCTGGCCTGTCTCTGGCTGAACGGGAACGGGGCCTGGGAAATTCTGTCTCAGCATTTCTCCCAGTGCTGGGTGGGACTGAGCAGTCCCCAAAACAGGCACCCTGGTCGGGAGGGTCCCCAAGGACCCCCATTACAGTCACTTGCTGCGCAGCCTCGCCAGAGCAGTGCTCAGCCCCCTTCCAGTGGGGCGCCTGCGGTCCAGACAGGGCCATTAGTCCCTCTGGAGGCCGGCTGACCATGGGGTCTCCACACCCACAGTAGCGGCCTGCAGGCAGCCTGGCCTGCACCCCTGCACTGCCCGCACCTCCCCCCAATGCCTGCACCCCGTACCCCTGCACTCTGCACCCTCACATTCCCGCACACCTGCACCCCACACTCCTGCACCCACACAGCCCTGCCCCTCCCCACGCGCCTGCATCCTCATGCTTCTGCACCCCACCCCCCGCATCCCCACACTCTCACACCCTTGCACCCCCATGGAGTGTGGGAGGGTGGGTGTAGTGTCAGGGAAGGGGGGAGAGCGACCCTTGGGGGTACCAGACCATCACAGACACTGGCTTGGGGAGCCCTCGGCTGTGACCTCTGAACTGTGACTGCGGCCCAGGGTCCCGCACGGCCCACGAGCTATCTGTGTGTGTCTGTGTCGTGCCTGCGTGTCTCACGTGTGTGTGCGTGTGATGCGCCCAGGCTCCTGATCTACGGAGACTACTGCAGCCGCATGGAGCATGCCCAGAACACGCTCAACCAGCTGTTGGCCACCCGTGACGACGTGAGGCAGAAGGTCGAGGTAAGGGCTCCAAGGGGGTCTCTGCGATCTCTGGGCGGCCCGGGACCCTCTCTGTGGGGGTCTCTGCACAAGCTGGGCGGCCCCAGGACCCTCTCTGGGGTCCCCACGTGAGCTTGGGTGGCCTCGGGATCCTCTCCCCGGAGAGGTTTGGGTTGGGGTGGGCCCCTTGTTCCTGGCCCCCAGGTATGAACCCCATGACCAGTTTCCTCTCAGCCAGGGGCTGTGGTGACCCTGTCCCTGGCACATGGGGACGCCAAGGGAGTGCCGAGCCCCAGAGCCCCACCTCATGCCCACCCCCCTTCCTTGCCCGGTTGCATTGGCGCCCCTGCAGCCCCGTCTGCTTGCTGCCTGGGGGGACTCCACTTGGCGGGTCAGGCCCTGTTCCAAGGGGACCTGGAGCTCTGGCAAAACTAGGGGTCGGGGCCCCTGTGCATCAGGGCCCCGGGTGAGAGTCTCCTGCTGTTGCCCATGCCCAGGAGTGCACGCTGAAGGTCCAGGACGGGAAGTTCAAGCTGCAGGACCTGCTGGTGGTGCCCATGCAGAGGGTGCTCAAGTACCACCTGCTACTCAAGGTGGGCTGCTCAGGGGGCACCCCCGCGGGCTGCAGGCTTGGAGGTCAGGGGCGCCTGGGGTAGCATCGCCTGTACTGGGTGGGGAGTGGGGGTGGGGGCGGGGTGGCCAGGGTTAGGCCAGTGAGGCCAGTGAGTTGCACTCCTTTCCCACTGCCCCCCGACTCAGACCTGCCTTGGGCGGGGGTGCATCTTAGCTTGGTCCCAGAGGGGTGGGGCCAGGCTCTTCCGGTCTGAATCATGGGGACCTCTGGGTGGGGGGCTTTTTCAAAGCCCTCAATGTCTCTCCAGCTTTGTACCACAGTGACCCCTGACCACAGATTTGGGGGGTGCCCTTCCCTGAGGGGGTCACTGGGCTCGGGCAGTTGAGCCAGATTGCAGGCTGCAGGGGCTTTGGGTGGTCGAGGCAGACAGCCCCCCTCACGCCTCCCTAGGAACTCCTGAGTCACTCCACGGACCGGCCGGACAGGCAGCAGCTCAAGGAAGCTTTAGAAGCTATGCAGGTGGGTAAACCGAGGCAGGACTGGGCAGGTGGGTAAGGCAGAGCCAGGACAGGTCAAGTCACCCTGGCCCCTTCCCTCTGGTCTGACTTGGGATGTCCCCAGTGGTGCTCCGGGCCTGGAGTGGGGCTGCAGTGTCTGGGTGTCCGTCCGTCCCGGCCCCCAGCCCCCCTTCCTGGCTCCTGGGCCGGGCTGCTGCCTGGTTCCTGCTGTGGCCACACTGCCCCCTGGTGGCCAGTTGGAGGGCTGCAGCGCATGGGTGCCTCCCCTTCTGCCCAGCCGCGGGGCTGATGCCCAGAGAGGGACCAGCTGCTCACCCCTCCTGCCTCAGTTTCTTCCTGTGCCAAGCCGGGGTGCAAAGCCTCCTGCCCTGATCCCTCTTGTGGACATGGTGCTGCAGAGACCCAGACCTGGACGCAGGGGCCAGGTGGATATGGGCCCCGATCACAGCGGGTCTTGGGCACACAGAGGGGCCTGGGCAAAAGTCAGGATGAATGGGCAGGGCTGTGCCCTACAGGACCTGGCCATGTACATAAACGAGGTGAAGAGGGACAAGGAGACTCTGAAGAAAGTGGCCGAGTTCCAGAGCTGCATCGAGAACCTGGTGAGACGGGGCGCGGAGCAAGTTTGATCCCAGGCACTGCGTAATAGTCTCCAACACCCATACCCCAGCACAGCACCCCACAACCACACCCACCACCGCACACCCAGCACCCACACCCCAGTACCCTCACCCACACCCAGCACCCACACAAGAGCTGGTGGCCTCATGTCTGTGCAGTGTTGCCTCAGGGACCGAGGGATACATGCCCGTGTGGAAGGTGGGATGCTGCCCGCCGAGCCCAGCCCCCCACAGCTGCCAGTCTGGTCCCCCACTCTAATCCCAAGCTTCAGGGATGGGTGCAGGCGGCAGTGACCCCCAACTGGTGGCCCAGCCTTGGGTCCCCAGCAAGTGCTGAGGGGTGTAGGCCCAGCTGCACCCGTGCCTTACAGTCACCTGCGTTAGCCCCGGGTGTGGGCGCGCACCCGCTCGGAGGCTTTTCCTTGTTGGTGACTGTGGGTGCTGAGCCCCTCTGCCCACCCCCTCTGGTGCTCATCAAGTGCGTGTGTGGCATCTGGGGCCAGGCCGAGCCTGGGTCAGCAGCACTCGGACTGCCGTGTGGACAGGTGCTGCGGAGTTAACCCAGAAGTGCTTTGGAGTCAGGCAGGACCCTGGCGACCTGTCCAGCAGGGCTGCATTCTTGTTTGTACCCTGGCCACTTCTGGAAGGCTCGGAGGAAGACGCCCTGTTGCCTGCTGGTGTCCAGGGATGTCCCTTTGACTCTCTGCACCCTAGACCCCATCCAGGTGACCCTGTGGCTCTCTGTCCCCTAGATCCCCTCTGAGTGTCCCCCCGGTTCTCTGAGCCCTTGTCTCTGTTCAAGTGTCCCCACGACTCTCTGCGCCCTAGGCCCCGTCTGACAGACGTGGGGACCAGCACGGAGGTGCCATCTTGCTGCCACGTCCCTGGTACACTCAGTCCTTGTGACCCAAAACTGAAGCGTCTTGCGGGATCCGGGGAGGGTCCAGGGCCGGTCCCTGGGGCCCAGCCACCCCTTCCGGGGACCAGGGGGCTCAGGGCTCACAGCCTCAAGGTTCCCGCAGCAGGTGAAGCTGGAGGAGTTCGGGCGGCCGAAGATTGACGGGGAGCTGAAGGTGCGCTCCATGGTCAACCACACCAAGCAGGACAGGTGAGCGGCCTGCGGCCAGCCGGGTCCTGCGCCCTCCCTGCACCCGTGGGGGTCCAGCCCCAGCCCAGGGCTCCTAGTCGAGGCGGTGGACTGGCAGAGAGGGGGAGGCGGGTGGGTGCATGTTTCCCGTGAAGGCAAGTTTGGGGGGTGGGGAGCCCTCAGGGCTTCTGCAGGGACCGACTGGGGGGCCAGGAGAGAGCGCCTTGCCCGGTGCTGACGGCCCCCTGCCTGGCGGCCCAGGTACTTGTTCCTGTTTGACAAGGTGGTGATCGTGTGCAAGCGGCGGGGCTACAGCTACGAGCTGAAGGAGATCATCGAGCTGCTGGCCCACAAGGTGTCGGACGACCCCATGAACAACAAGGACATCAAGAAGGTGGGCGGCTGGGCTGGGCTGTGGGGTCGCACGGGTCGGGGGAGTGCTGGCTGGGTGCTGGGCTGGGCAGTGGGCATGTCCACGTGCAGCACTGGGTGGGCATGGGCGAGGCCGCTCCCTGGGCTGGGCTGGGCGCTGCACATATCCGCACGCAGGGCTGGGGCTGAGCATGGGCCAGGGGTCCGCAGGGAGCTGGGTGCGAGACACAGGCCAAGGGGCCCGCAGGCAACGGTTTTGCCCTTCGCAGTCCCTGCACCCGATGCCCCTGGCCCCCAAGGGATGAGGGGGCACTCCCAAGCCTCCCGCAGGTTCACAGCCAACTCCTCTCCGCTTCTCACCCCCCATGGAGGAGGGTTTGGGGCCACATTGGCCCCCGGGACAGGAGGGCCAGAATTTACTGTGGGACCAGGCTGTAGAAAGGCCAGGCCTCGCGGGGGTGGGGTCAGACTGCTGGGGGCGGGGCCAGACTGACGGGGCGGGGCTAGGCGGGATGATGGGCTGGACCCTGGCCTGCTGGTAGTCGGGACTGGCCGGGCCCTGAGCTTGCCTACCGGGACTGGGGCACTGCTGTGGTGCCAGGCAGCCTTGAGCGCAGTTGTGTGCAGCTCTGAGCTTAGCAGCGGTTCAGGAGCCGGTTTGCTGGCACTCCAGCTCTGGACTCAGAGCTCTCACGGACACAGACCCAGAACCCTAACCTGGACATAGCTGCCCAGCAGCAGGGCCCAGCAGAGGCCTCAGCCCCCCCACCCCCCGCTGTTCTCGCTGACCTGTCCCTCTTCCTCTCCCATGCTGCCCAGTCTCACGGGAAAGTGGTAAGCACTGGGGGCCACTCGGGGTCTCCCTGGCCGCCTCTCCCCTTACAGCAGATGTGCAGCCAAGTGTTCCCTTAAAGAGGTCCGTAGTGGTGGGTGAAGCCCCTGCACCTCCCGCTGTGCCAGCTGCTCCCCCCTCTCGTGCACATTCCAACGGTTCTCTAGGAAAGCTCCAGGAGGTGGCTGGGCGAGGCCCTGAGCAGGGTGGGCAGTGGTCGGCAGGCTCGCTTGGCCGCTTCCATTTCACTGCACATTCTCAGCTTCAGGTGGAGGTGCTGGGGTGATGGGCATGAGCACAGGCATGGAGACACATGTGCTGTATGTACACACAAACGCAGGTCGCAGGCCCCTGGAAGGGGGACACGTGTACTCTCCACACACGTGGTGTTCAGGCCGTGTGGCTTGAGGAATGCCCGTGTCAGTGCACATGTGGGTTCCTGTTAGCATATATGCACATGCCAGTGAGTTCCCATGTCCGTGTGGCCCACGCGTCAGTGTGTGTGCCAGTATTTCGTGTCTGTGCGTGTGTCCCAGTGTGCCCGTGTCTGTGCATGTTGTGTGCCAGTGTGTCTGTCACTGTCAGTACATGTGCCAGGGTGTCAGCACTTAATTCGTGTCTGTGTGTCTGCATGTCAGCGTGTATTTTGTGTCAGCGTGTGTGTTGGCGTGTGCAAGCCTGTGCCCGTGTGCGCGTGCCCGTGTTGGTGTGCGTGTGCCTGTGCCAGCTCCTTCTGTGCTCGCCCGCAGTGGTCCTACGGCTTCTACCTCATCCACCTGCAAGGCAAGCAGGGCTTCCAGCTCTTCTGCAAGACCGAGGACATGAAGCGCAAGTGGATGGAGCAGTTCGAGATGGCCATGTGAGTGCTGGGGGACTGGGGCGGGGTGGCCACATAAGTGCTGCCAGTGCTCAGAGCGGCCTTGTCTTGTGGCATCTCCCACCCAGTGCCCTGGGGCCCTGCAGAGGTGAGGGCCGGGGTCAGTGGGGCCAGTGGGGAGGCTGGGGCTCTGGCCTGGTTCTCCCTATGCAAGGGTCAGGTGACCACGAGATCCGAGTGCCCCAGTACCTCAGAAGAGGGTGGCACACTGCCTGGGCGCCCTGGCCGGCAGGGCTGGATGGGGTCTCTGATGTCTGCAGCCGTGGGGGTCACATGAACTCAGGCCACACCCCCGCAGGAGCTGGTCCTCCCTGTGCTGTGTGACGTCAGAGCTCGGGGTGCTGGGTTTGGGGTCTGCCGCAGGTCCAATGTGAAGCCCGACAAGGCCGGTGCCAACCAGCATGCCTTCCAGATGTTCACATTCGCCAGGACCACCACGTGCCGCGCCTGCCGCATGCTGCTCAGGTGGGAGGGCGCCCGGAAGGCTGCGCGGGCTGTGGTGGTCTCGGGGTCCTCATTCCATCCTTCCTACACAGGGGCACTTTCTACCAGGGGTACCTGTGCGCCCGGTGCGGTGTCGGTGCGCACAAGGAGTGTCTGGAGGTGACACCGCCCTGCAAGACAGGTGAGTGCCCAGGACGCGTGGATGCTGCCCCGCCTCAGGCCCTGAGGCATTGGGAGGGAAGAGTGGCTCCATGACAGCCCCAGCAGGCCCACAGGGGCAGGTTCTTGGTGGGCACAGGCGCCCGCAGTGGAGTTGCAGGTTTCTGACCCGAGGGAAACACCCAGCACACATCATCCCCGCTGGAGAGGCCTGGTCCGTCCACCTGAGCCGTGTCAGGAAATGGTGCACGTGTCGGCACACGCACACATGCACACACACATGCACGCACAATCCCTGCCCCTTTCTCGTGCCCATTTGGCCGGTGGGAAGCCCAAGGCAGTGGCCAGCCAGGCATCCAGGGCCTACCTGGAGAGATGAGTGTGAGGGGTCGGCCATGCCCAGGGCAGCTGAGACACGTGGTCAAGCCAGAGAAGCTTCTGAAAAGCTTCTGGCCCCCCCAGAAGCAGGGGGCCGCGGGGTGGGGTGTGCAGAGCCAGGCCAAGGCCTGGTGGGGGGACCCTGGGGTCCAGGCCCTCTGAGGCCAGCATGCTGCTCCCCAGGCTGGGGGTCCTATCCTTGAGTGCCTTCTGGGTGCTGCAGCTCCTGCCCAGCTGTGTTGTTCAGCCTCAGACTCTGGGTCCGGACCTGGGACCCCACCACCAGCAGCCCCTCACTCCTCCCCAGGGCGCCCCTCACAGCCACGTCTTCATTTGCTCACTCACACTGCCCCCTGGTGGCCACATAGCATCACTCCAGACTTGGAGCACACGCTTCCCTATTCCCTGGGCCCAGAAACAGCCTTAGTCATCAGGCCTGGAGGGAAAGAGCGGGAATGGAAACAAGACAGGAAACAAGGACTGTCTGTGAACTTAGCTGGAGTCCTGGCATCCCCATGCTGCGTGGGCGTGGGGCCTGTGTGGTCCGCGACTCCGCCAGACTCTGACTCCCCCACTTCCTCTCCAGGTTCCCCTGCAGACGTGGTGAGTCCCTGCGCGGGCACCCTCGTGGCTGAGCCCTCGTGCCACTGCGCCCTGCCTGCCGCCCTGCAGGCCCCAGAGCTGACTGAGCTGGCATGTGGGTCTAGTCACGTGAACAGATGCTCCCCAGGCCTGTGGGCACAGCTGCCTCCCTGGAGAGGGGCACGACTCCTAGTGCCCAGTGGCAGGACCCGGCCCAGAGGGAGGGGGCAGCCCCAGGCCTGAGCTGGCCAGGGCAGGCTTCCTGGAGAAGGTGGGATTTGGGAGAGTGGCCTGTCTGAGGCAGCCCTTGGTGGAGGGTGTGTGAGTACCGGGGTCCTTCCTGGGGCGAGGCCCGGCAGGTCTGTGTCCTCACGCTCTGTGCCGTCACCCTTCCCTGGGGCTGCGGGCTCACGGGTGCCAGGACAGCGCCTCATCAGCACTCTTGTCTGCAGGACACCCCCGGAGCGGGACCAGGTGAGCTACTGCCCAGCTCGGGCTGTGCCTGCCCACGCCCTGGCAGCTCCCCACCTGCAGAGGATCCGGGGCCCAGCCCTGAGGCCCCGGCAGATCAGTCGACACACGCACTCTGGCCGCTCTGTGTGCTGGGCTGTCCTGGGCCCTCATGGGCCTTCCTGAGTCCTCCTGCACCCTCCTGGACCATCCTGGGCCATCCTGGGCTGTTCTGGACCAACCTGAGCTCCCTTGGGCCACCCTGGGCCTTTCTGGGCCCTCCTGTGCTGTCCTGGGCCATTCTGGACTATTCTGAGCCCTAATGGGCCTTCCTGAGCCCTCCTGGGCTGTCCTGAGCCATTATTGACCATCTTGAGCCTTTCTGGGCCATGCTGGGCTACCATGGGCCATTCTGGACCATGTTGGACCATCCTGGACCATCCTTCGCTCTCCTGGCCTACCCTGGAGGCCTTCCTGGACTTTCCTGGGCCGTCCTGGGCCATCCTGGGCCGTCCTGGACTGTCCTGGGCTATGCTGGCCCTGGGCTCAGGGGCTCTTGTGTGTGGGCCAGAGAAGGGGGTCCCTCTGGAGCGCAGCCTCTTCCCCTCTGTCCTCTTGCACTGAGGGAGCAGCCTGGGGAGCTGGGCGGGGACCCCACTTCTGCTCTGGTCAGGCCCTGGATCCTACCCTGCCCAGGTTCTCATCCAGGGGATTCCCATTAGTTTCCCCCATGGCTGGTGGTCCCTTTCTCCTTGTGGGTCTGGAAGATCCCCCCGTCATAGGCAGGCCCCCCCTGCACCCTCAGTGGGCTTGTCATTGGCCACTCCTCTGCAGGCGTCTCCTCTGCGGACTCTAAGCAGCCCGCGAGGCCCCCAGTGAGCTGCATGTCCCTGCAGGTCCCAAGATGGTGGCTGTGCAGAGTTACCACGGCAGCCCCGCGCCCCCCGGGAAGCCGGTGCTCACCTTCCAGACGGGCGACATCATCGAGCTGCTCAAGGGCGACCCCGAGTCCCCGTGGTGGGAGGTGGGCCTGGGGCCACCTGGGTGTGGGTGACCCCGAGTCTTCATGGTGGGAAGGGGAGCCTGGGATTGGGGAACAGGGGGCTCGGAGTCCACAGGTGGGGGGCCCCAGAGTGCCCCAGCACCCGGCCCAGCTTGGGCCCTTCCCCTCCTGCCCTGAGGACAGTCACACAGGATAGTCCACCGAAGCTGGCGTCTGGGTCGGCTGGGAAGTGGGACTGCCCGCCCCCTGCGCCCATGCCTGGCCCCACCCAGAGCCCAGCACAGGCCTGGCTCGGGGCAGCCTTGCCGTGAGATGCAGCTGTGGCTGCAGCGGGGCAGGTGGACTCTGGCCCGTGTCCCCCTGGGTAGTGACCGCCAAAGGTCACATGGCCACATGGATCGGCAGCAGGCAGGGGCTATGTGGGCTGGCAGTGGGCAGTGGCGCGCTCCTGCTCCGGCCCACACTGACGGTCTCTGCTTCCAGGGCCGGCTGGTGCTGACCCGCAAGTCTGGCTGCTTCCCCAGCGCGTCTGTGAAGCCATGTCCCGCGGACGGGCGGGTGAGTGGGTCCACGGAAGCGTCATTGTGCGGGAGCTGGGCTGGAATGGGCACCTCGGGTGAGCGTCCCTAGAGGGGCCTGTGTCACAGGGGCTCAGCCCAGCACTTTTCTCTGCATGGTGGGTCTTCCAACTTGGACCCCACCCTCGCCACCAGACAGGCCCTGGGGGGCCTTCAGCTGGACACAACAGTCCAGCCGGGCAGCTGGCACCACTCTGAGTCATGAAGAGACAAGTCTCTTGGCTCAGCCATTGATCATGGAAGGACCCCCTACAGACAGGAAAGACCCCCATGAAGACAGGGCCCCACACACAGGACGGACCCCCACGAAGACAGTAGAAAGTGGGGCCCTCACCCTTGGCCGTTCTTCGCGTGGTGCCCTCGGCTGTGGCTCCAGTCACAGATACCGCAGCAGAGAAGGGTGGCCAAGGCCAGCTCACAGGGGCCTCGGCCTCAGTTTCCCCGTGTGCATGGTGTTTGGAGGGGAGACGAGACGGGGTGAGGGACTCAGGGGTAGGTCAGGGCTGATGAGCCACCTCGCTTTCCCCGCCGTCTCTACAGCCGCCTGTTTCCCGGCCACCCTCCCGTGAGCTTGACTACACCATGTACCCCTGGTGAGTGTGCCCTGCGCCCCTCTGAGGTGGTACATCAGGTGGGGGGTGTCAGCGGGGTCCTTGGGCCAGTGTCTGACCTGGGGCTGCCGACTGGGTGAGGCTCGGGGTGCGTGTACTGCCACGAGGCTCGGCAGCCAGACCCCCGGGGATGTGGGGGACTGGGGACTACCTATCAAGCCCCTCCAGGAATGGGGGGCTACATGAGGTCCCCCAGGAGTTTTGGGGGCTGCTGCAGGCAGTGACTGCACAGCCCCATTGTCTGAGGTGCAGCTGGGTTCATTCCTGACGCCCCCTGGCGTCTGCGCTTGCTTGGGCCCTGAAGTGCCTGGACGCACCGAGACTGGCTCCCCCTGGGCCTCCTGAGCATCTGCTTGAACAGGGTCACCCCCAGGGGACAGGCTGTGGGGGGCCCTGGGTGCCAGGAGCTTCTTCAGTGCGCATCCTCCCTGGTGGAAATCCCGCCTCCCGCCTCCTGGAAGCCGAGTTTGGGTGTAAGTCGGGGCTGGTGTGGGTGCTACCGGCCGCCCACTGAAGACGCCGCACTTCCCCCACCAGGTTCGCTGGCAGCATGGAGAGGCAACAGACTGACACCCTGCTGAAGCCCCACGCCAGCGGCACCTACCTCATCCGGGAGCGGCCGGCTGAGGCCGAGCGCTTCGCCATCAGCGTCAAGTATGTGCCCGCGGGGTGTCGGGGACCAGCCGTGCCCTCGTCCCCCGAGCATCGTCTGGGGTGATCGGAGACGCACCAGTCTCAAAAGTTCAGGGTCAGGGTGGGGTGCTGAGGGGCTCTCTCGGCCCGGAGACTGCAGATCCCCTCTCCAGAGGCGAGGCCAGGCTGGGGATCGCCTCGAGCTGGGCCCAGAGGCTGGCCCTGAGCCTCCACCCTGTGGAAGGGAGCCAGTGGGAGGGGGAGCGAGGGGCTTGTGTGGGGCCCGAGTCCGCTTGACCCGTGGCCTGCTCTGTCCACACCGCAGCGCTACCCCGGCCCAACTTTCTCCACCTCTCTCCCACGAGGGGGCTGGCGTCTGGCACATGTGTGCATGAATGTATGCCACGAGTGTCTGGGCACATGTACACATGCATATGTGCGCAGATACACATGTGTGACTGTTATGTACCAATGGGCTTGTGCGAAAGTGCACGAACGTTTGTGCATGGGTGTGGCTTCTGCAAGGGTATGTGCATGTCCCTGATTGTGTATCACGTGTATGACCGTGTGCGGGAGCACGGGTGTGTTCACGTGTGAAACACGTGGCATGTAGTGCTGTGCGTGCCTGCACGAGTGTCTCTTGGTGCTAAGGCTCGGGTTGCAGATACCCTCTGGGCCCTACAGAATGGCTGCGGATGGCAGGTCCGGGCAGCTGGGAGCCTCAGGCACTCCACACCTTTCCTAGCCTGCCTTTGGCAGGTGGACGGGGTGATGAGGGAGACGTAGACGTGAGGTGTGGAGAGCCTGCAGGCTGCGGTGGTGGAGGGGTGGTGGAGGGCAGGCGGGCTGGGCGGCTGGGCTAATGGACGCTCAGCGCATGCCTGAGGCACCCCCGCCCCCAACGCAGGTTCAACGACGAGGTGAAGCACATCAAGGTGGTGGAGAAGGACGGCTGGATCCACATCACCGAGGCCAAGAAGTTCGAGAGCCTCCTGGTGGGTGGAGCCCCCTTCCCGCAGTCCCCCCTCCCCGTGACCCCGCGTCCTGGCCGTTGGATGCAGTGAGACAGCGTGGGGCCGGGCGCATGAGCGCTCGGGGCTCTCCCCTCCCCATTGTCCACACACTCATCTCCTCCCCCGCAGCCCAGAGCAGGTCAGAGACATTTGGAAGGGAAACTGCTAGATTGAAGTGTTTCCTGACCTGCCTGCCTGGGACAGGAGAGGGACTGGGGTTTCTCAGGGGTCCGGGAGGTTTATCTCCCATGTAGAGCTGAAGGGGTGGGAATGAGCAGGCAGGGCTGCAGGAGGACTACCTGGAGGCAGTGGCATTGGGTCAGGTGCATCTTGCAGGAGCTGGTGGAGTACTACCAGTGCCACTCGCTCAAGGAGAGCTTCAAGCAGCTGGACACGACCCTCAAGCACCCCTACAAGTCCCGGGAGCGCTTGGCCTCTAGGGCCTCCAGCCGGTCCCCAGGTAAGGGCTGTCCGCGTGCCCTGAGCTCACAGACCGCCGCTTGCTGCTGCCTGGGCGTGACAGGCGTCGGGGCGCCCCAGCTCGGTGCCCTGACCTGGAGGTCAGCGTGGCCACGCGCGTAGGCCCTCCTGCCCCTTGAGTGCCCAGGGACATGCCCACTGTCCATGGCCTCCAGGCCCACTTCCCCCATGACGCCGCGCCCAGAGCTGCCCGTGAGACGGGACCCCCAGGAGAGCACGCGGCGGAGGGGGGGAGGAGCAGGGACAGGCCTGGCCTTCGCTCTGCTGCGCTGCACTGTGTCCCCGCCCCACACTGTCATGGTCTCCCCCACACCCACCCATCACTGTCTCTCCCCGGTCACTGCCTCTGCCCTGTTCCGGCCTCTCCCCTACCCCAGCCTCCGCCCTGTCACGGCTCTCTCCCGTCACTGTCTCCCCTGTCACTGCCTCTCCCGGCACAGCCTCTGCCCTGTCATGGTCTTTCTCCTGTCATGGCTTGGCACAGCCTCTTCCTGTTTTGGCCTCTCTCCCGTCACGGCCTCTCCCCCGTCACGGCCTCTGCCTGTCACGGTCTCTCTCGCCTCTTTGCAGCTTCGGGCGCCTCCTCCAACTTTTCTTTTCTCAGTCCTCAGGGCCTCAGCCTCGCTGCTCAGGGCTCCTCCGCCCCGTTCTGGTCAGGTCAGGTACCACCACTGCTCGGGCCTGGGGGCTGCCGCCCACCCGGCGCTGGCCAGCTGCCTGCAGCCTGGAGGGGTGGGAAGCACGGGGGGCTGCGGGGCACGGGGCAGGGACGCCCACCCAGGCCCTGCCCTGTTGGCAAGCATGGCCCTCGTCCGTCACCACGTTGTCGCCTGTCTGTCAGGACCCCGGTCTCAGCTGAGCTGGGTGTCCTTGCTGGTGTCTGGCTCCAGCGGGTGGCCCAGGGCAGAGGGGGGCGTTGGCCACACTGGGCAGTCGCCCATAGGGTGCGCGTGGCTCGAGCTGAGAGCACCCCACACAGGGGCCCCTCCTGTGTCTCTGGGCTCGGGCGAGGCGTGCGGGGCGCCCCGCAGCCATGTGACACTCCCTTCTCCCCCCAGTCTTCGCGCCTCGCGTCGTCGGCACGGCCGTGGCCAGGTACAACTTCGCCGCCCGGGACATGCGGGAGCTCTCGCTGCGGGAGGGGGACGTGGTGAAGATCTACAGCCGCGTCGGCGGGGACCGGGGCTGGTGGAAGGGCGAGACCCACGGCCGGGTGAGTGCCAAGCTGTCCCTTCTCGGGCGCGCGCGTGCGCGCGCACACGCAGCCAAGCTTGCCCCTCCCCCACCTAGTTCCACGGTGTCGAAGGCATGCTGCTGGGGGGGACCCGCAGCGTCTGTTCCTCTGGGCCTTCTCTCCTCCTCTCTTCCCCAGCTTCTCTGTCCACACCCCATCCCTGAAATCAACTCTTGGTTCCACCAAGTGTTCCCTACTTGGGTTTGGGGATCACTTTGTGGCACAGGTGCAGCCCCCAAAGGGGCTTGGTCTTGGTCTCGCAGTATCACTGGTGACCATGTCTGACCGTGTGTCCTCACCACCTCCACCTGCCCCTGCTCCCTGTGAGGCTCCTTCCGCGTTCCCTTCTGTCCCCACACTGCGGGGCTGCACCTCAGAGTGATCGCATTCTCTCGTGAAAGCATTCTCACTGTAAGCTGTCACTTTGCATTTTCAGACGTTTCAAACCGAGTGGCACCCCGCTGCCGCCCACAGGCCTGGCGCAGCCAGTGATGCCAGGGACACAGGTTCCTGCATCGATGACTTGCGGGTGGCCCGTGTGTGGTTTCCGTGTTCCTCGCCTTGTGTCTGTGTGTGTGTTACTTTTTCTCCCAGTTATCTGAGTCTTGTAACTCACACACCCTGGCCCCTTGCGTCTTTATTTCAGGTGTAGGTCGTTTTTGTTTTTCACATACTTGCTTCCTGATGTCAGGGAGTACCACCCCCACCCCCCACCCCCATCCCAGTCCACCGGTGTTTTCAGGAAAGGCATAGAGATGGCACTGGGGGCTGCCCTGCCTGTCTGCCCAAGTGCTTGGACCTGGTGAAGAGCGACTCTGGGCTGTGCCCCTAGTCCAGAGAGGTGTGTGATGGTCCCGGGATCAGCAATCATACGTATTCGATATGTGCTTTGGGAGGAACCCGTGCACAGAAGGCTCTTTCCTCGTCGTGCTTCGGTGCGTTCTCCAGAGCTCAGGGACACTGGCATGTGCCACACAGGTTTATCACAGACTGAGGTGCACCTTCCTGGCTCCCTCCTGTAATCGGCACTTACCCTGCAGGGTGACACTCTGAAATCAGTTTTCTCCAGTTCCCTCTGTTCATCATTGAAGAATTATATCTGCCAGGGCTGGAGCGATAGCACAGTGGGTAGGGCATTTGCCTTGCATGCAGCTGACCCGGGTTCAATTCCTGGCATCCCATATGGTCCCCCAAGCACCGCCAGGAGTAATTCCTGAGCTCATGAGCTAGGAGTAACCCAAGTATCACTCAGTGTGACCCAAAAAGAAAAAAAAAGAATTACACCTACCCTGTTGTTTCCGTGAGCTAGAGCGATAGCACAGCAGGTAGGGCGTTTGCCTTGCATGCAGCCAACCCGTCGACCCGAGTTCGATTCCTCTGCCCCTCTCGGAGAGCCCGGCAAGCTACCGAGAGTATCTCGCCCTCACGGCAAAGCCCAGCAAGCTGCCCGTGACGTATGCGATATGCCAAACACAGTAACAAGTCTCACACTGTTACTGGGCCCGCTTGAGCAAATCGATGAACAACGGGAGGACAGTGCAGGACAGTGCAGTGCAATGTTGTTCCGTCACGGTTGAAAGTGGTGGTTTTTCCTGTGTGTTTTTCCGCTCTGATCAGGAGGCGTGCACTGTAAGGAAAAAGCATTTGCTTCCCCCCTAGGAGATTGGCTGCTGCCTTGCTTTGGTGTTTTGTTTTGTTTCGGTGGGTGTTGTTTTTTTAAGATTTCTGAAATTGTGTCTATTTTAGGTGGGTGTTTTTGTTTATAATATATTTGGTTTTTGTTTTTATATATTTGTTTTTTAATATATGTTTTATATACGTGTGTGTGTGTGTGTGTGTGTGTGTGTTGGCCACGTGGCTGTGCTCAGTGCCTGCTCCTGGCTCTGTCCTTGGGGGGGGCCACTCGGGACAGGGTGCCAGGACTGACTGTGAGCCTCTGCAGAGCTGCCCAGCCCAAGCTGCCTTCTGGTAAGAGTGCCCAGCTCTCTGTGGCTGGCAGGGTGTTTTTCGGGTTTGAGTGCTGGATTGAGAAATTCAACAGCTTTCCCACTGTCCCGAGAGCCCCATCTCTGGAAAAGCCCGTTGACATTCTCACTCAGAGCCTTGGAAGAGCTGTGACCAGAGTGCCTGGGAGGGCTTGGCACACAGTTTCCTCTAATGGCCTCTGGGCTACTCTCTCTTCTCCAGTCTGGCTCCATCCTCACCTGACCCTGGCCTATGCCACGTGCTGTTGCGCTGTTGTGATGTCCACCTATTCTCTCTGGCTTCTGGGCCGTTGACTACTGCCATTGACCTGACTTCCTGTGTGTCATTTCTGACTTCCTTTGTGGTGGTTCTGGTTTTCTGTGTGTCAGTCCTGACACTGTGTCTGTCCTGTCTTCCCATTTGTCAGTCCTCTTGTGCTGTGAGTCTGTTCTGATGCTGCGTATCAGTCCTGACTTCCTGAATGCCTCTCCTGCCTGCTGTGTCCAGCCCCCTGGTCAGCCCTACTAGTGGATTCAACTGTTTCTTACACAGAGAAACTTGTCGAGTTTCTCTGGATTCCGATGAGCCTTTCTTTTCATCAATTTTCTGAAACCTGCAGACTGCAGTTCACATTTCCTGGGTGGCCCCAGGTGCCCGGAAGATGTCCTTTGGTTTCTGGCTCTCAGTTGTGCCCCTTGGGTCCTGCCAGCTCCAGCCCATGGCTCCCCCTGACCTCTGGCCTCTCTGGGGCAGGCCAGGTGTCCCGAAGCTCTCTCCTCACCAGCACGTCCCGTGCTTTCACATTTCGTACTCGCCTCGCACGAATGTGCACATGCCCCACTCGATAGAATATGCAGATGTGCCATTTGCAGACATGCTTACACATGTGTGTGCAAGCACACTTACCATCCACACGTGCACATGGAGGCAGCACACGCCTGAGGCATGCTCACCTGTGCACGTACATGTCTGTGGAGGCATGCTCACCCAAGCACACACACACGTGCACGTGGAGGTGTGTTTACCCATGCGCGCGCGCGCACACACACACAGAGGTGTGCCTGCTGTGCACAGTCTTACCTGCGCCCACTCTCGTTTGCAGATCGGCTGGTTCCCTTCGACGTACGTGGAGGAGGAGGGCGTCCAGTGACGCGGGAGTCTGGACAGGACATTCTTGGGAAGCTGCAGCTCTGGTCTCGCTCTGGCTCCAGGACTCCGGGGGCCGTGCCCGCCAGCATCTGTCTCCCCTAGGCTGCAGGCTGGGGCGGGCTTCCATAGAGGAGCGGTGGGCTGGCCCTGTGGGACTGTTGTCACTGGAGCCCCGAGCTGGGGAGTTCGGGGGTCTTGCCTGCCCCTCGGGGCCCTACTTCTTGCTGTTCTAGGGTGCCCGAGCCCAGGGCGGCCTGTTGGCTGTGCTCGGCTTCTCATGACCCCAGCAGCCAGCGTGTATAGAGACCCCCGGGGTGCGCCCCCCCCATGGTACTGTTCTTTGTCCTGAGTCCCAGGATGTCCCTGTGCCTGTCCTTGTCCTGCTGCCAGAGGCGTCATGGGAGAGACCGCCCGGGCCCTCTGCGCGTGCCACTCGCCCCGCCCCCGTGCCGTGAGCTGCCCGGGCTCGCCCCACACAAGTGCTCTTGGGGGCGCCTCTTTTCTCATGCTCCCCACGGACTCCTCCTGGGCCCGGGCTCACCCAGTTCCTATGTTCTCCACGTGTGTCACAGGGTCTGGCGACACTGGCCTAGCTCCCGTCCTCTCTAGTGGTACCCGGGCAGGGAGCAGCCTCATCCTGCTGCGGGTGCGTGCTCGTCCACGGGGCTCTGGGCTCGGCCCCATCGAGGGTGGGAGGAGGCGCCAGGCTGACGTGGCCTGTGGATGCCATCCCTGCGGGCGCGGCCCATGCACAGCCCCGGCCAGGCTCTCCATGCCGCTGTGTCTGCAAAGTTGTTTTGTGTTTTTGTCGTTGGGGCTTCGTTTGATCATGTTTGTTTGGGGGTTGGCTTGTTCATTTTGTAAGGTCGGGAACTTTGTCATGATTTCCTCCGAAGCTCCCATTCTGTCTGTGGGTACGAAGGAAGAGATTTCCAAGAGCAGAGCTGGGTGTCTGCGCCTGTCACCCGTCTCCTGGCCTGGGGCGCACTGCCGCCCGGGCCAGCTTCACGTGCGTCTGTCCCATGCCTGCTGTCTGGAAGCCTGTGGGGTGGTCGGCGGGCTCTGCGCCATAGGGGGCAGGCGGGCGGGGGGGGTGGAGGGGTGGCCGTGGGCCGGAGATTAGCTGTGAACACGTAGGAGCCTCATGCATGCGGGTCGGGGCCTGGGGGTCCCACCGGTGGTGGGACTCTCGAAGAGCAGAACTGTACATTTGCCAATGGGGTTTTTCAGACCACGGTTTTTACTGCCAATAAACCTGCGTTCTTTGCCGTGGGCGTGGCCGCGGCCTTGCCAGGGAGGAGAGTGCACGCGTCCGTCTGTCTTCATGAGCACGTCCAGCCTGGTCAGCCATGGGAGGCGATTCAGGACGTGGACACCAGCCCTGGCCCGCCGGAGCGGTGGGCACTGTGGCCCGCAGGCAGCAGAAGACTCCTTGCTCCCAGGAGAGCGTCTCGAGGCGTCCTCACCCCCCGCCTTCATCGCCCCGCTCTGCGCTTCTCCAGCACACGGGCTTTGTTCCGGAACTTCCGGCCCATGGTGGATGCTGGAGGTCCTGCGGCTGCAGCAGGGCCCCAGCTTGGGCCTCCCCGTTGCCCATGACACTCGGCAGGGCGGAGCACCTGCTCCAGTCCATGTGGGAAGTGGACGCCAAAGGGTCATCTGGACAGAGAGCCCCAGATTTGCTTGACTTGCCAACTCCTCTGTAGACAGTAAAAATCCCTCACTACCTCCCCTCCCCACCTCCTCCTGCTGCAAATGGGACCCTGAGAAGTGCACAGCGCACGTGGGCACCACTGGTCTGGATTAACACGGCAGGGAACGCTTCACAGGCCTGGGGCCCTGTACAGAAAAGCCAGGTCACCACTGGCATTGTAAAACGAAGGAGGCCCCCATGGGGACTGTGGGCGAGTGGTGGCCTCCGTCACTAACTGTGCGGGACCACATACACGGCTCCTGGCTCAGGGGTCAGCAGACAGCTCAGAGGGGACAGTGACTGGGGAGGACATGGCCCTGTTCCTAAGACCAGGAACAACGTGTTAGGGACGGGGGCAGGGCCCAGGGTCCCTGTGGACATTTCCATCCCCAAGCTGGGGACACTCACGGGATGTCCCTGGCTGGCCACAGGGAAGAGCTGGGCGGGCAGGTCCTCCCCAAGCAGGGGTCTTCTGGCCTGTGGAACCCCACTGAGGAGCGGACGTGACCGCTGCGTGTGACTGGTGCTGCCTCTGGGGCCTGCTTGCAGCAAAGAGAGTTTGCAGGGAGGTCTGGGACACTGGCCCGCCACAGCTGCAGTGAGGCAGGCCCGGCTCTGCACCCCCAGGAGCAGCTGCTGTGGGCAGAACGGCTGCAGGGAGAAGGCAGGACACTGGGAACAAGCCTCTGCACACGCACCCTGGGGAGAAGCCTGGGAGCCCATTCCGCCCGCGGGAGGGTGCTGGCCAGTGGAAATGGACACTCACAAAGAGAGCGAGGGACTTCGAGAAGAAAATGCCCAGAGTTCAACAACACACGAGTGGGCAGTGGGGACCCGCCCCGCTGCCCCTCATGGCCAGAGTAAGCCGCAGCCGGTCCTGGAGTGTGGGGTCTGCGGGGAGGGCACGCTGGCCCCTCTGCCAACCTGGGAGCAGATTCAGCACCTCCATCCTCAGGACAGGAGGCTGCCGGCCCCTAGCGTCTGCAGCCCCCACCCCGCGAGCCTGGCGGCCCGGGCGGGAGCTCCTGGGACCCCTAACTGGGCTCCCCGGCTCACTGCTGGTCCCCAGAAGGGGCTCCGGCCCTGGCCCCAGGCTCCAGGATCCCTCCAGGGACATGCGGGTTTCCTCGGCCCCTCCCATTAGTTGTTAGGCGGTCACGTGGCTGCAAAGGCAGCTGGGAGAGGTAGTTCTCGGTGGGGAACGTGTGGACAGCCACGAGGCTGGGCACTGGCCTTGCTGCAGCCCTCGGGCACGTGTGCAGCCAGGCTGACGCAGGCAGTTGGAGGGCGCTGAGCTGGCGCTGCCCGCCGCAGGACCTCCTGGGGCGGATGTCCCCGATCCCCGGGTCAGTGGCCCCAACTCTCACCCCGAAGACCTTCCGTCCCGCTGGCCGCCCTCCCTGGCTGCTTCCTGCTCTGGGGTTCATGTGCTCAGCGCAGGGGAAATGGGGTGTCTGCGCGTGGGGGTCAGGGGGTAGTGGGAACCCGCATAGGGCGGGGCAGTCCCTGGAGCAGGGTGGGTCTGGATAGGGCCCCCCCCCCATCTCCCAACTCTGCGGATGGGCAGGCTAGGGCCTGGTGCCCACAGCTGCTGTTTCCTGATAAGAGAGCAGTTGGGAGATGCAGGCGGAGCGAGAGGTCCCCCGCTGTGACCCGTGGGAGCTGTTTCTGCTGAGGCCCAACCTTTCGGGGCTGCCTGACCAGAGCTCCCCGAAGCATCTGGACAACAGTCCAGACCCAGAGGGTTCAGGAGACACCCCACCCATCACTGCAGCACTTCTCGGTCACTTCTGGGGCCCTCATGCTCTGGAGCAGCTCCATGGGGCTGGGAGTCCTGGTTGGTCTGGGGAGTGGGCACAGCTGATGGGGTGTGGGGGGTCCGCACCCAGTGGTGCTCAGGGCTGCTGCAGGATGCTGGGGACGATCTCTGGTTGGGGGTGCGTGGACGCGCCTTCACTGCTGTACTGTTTCTTCAGCCCCCTCAATTTTTAAAAATGTCACTGGAAAAATAAAATCGTTGTTTGTCAATGCAGCCCTCAGGTGCTGTTCAGGTCCGGGGTGTGACGGGGAGCACAGGGCATGTGCTGGGGGTACGAGTCCCGAATCCACATGTTCCCCAAGCAGCACCAGGCACGGTTCCTGCAACAAATGAAAAATAACAAGTAGTTCTGGAAGCTTCCCTGGTCTGAGGCTGGCGCCGGTGCCTCTGCTGTGCTCTCCCGTCTCTCGCCTCTGCGCTCGCCTGTGTGTGCCAGTTTTCACCCTGAGTTGCGCACATCACCCGTCCAGCACGGGCCTGACGCCACGGCCACCCCTGGAGGCGCTGCCCCAAGGCCACTGCACCAGGTCCTGGCCAGGCGCCACCTGCGACCGTGTCACCCAGCGTCACCTCACAGGGACACACAGTCCCTCCGGCCTCTCCCCCTGCCCCACCCAGACTCCGGCCCAGTCCCAGGGCCGTCTGCAGACCCTCCCTCCAAAGGCCAGCAGGAGGGGATAGGCTCTGGGCGGGGACAGCTGTGCCCAGACACATTCAGCGCTGCTCAGAGCCTGACTGCTGCCCCTACCCACTTCCCAGACAGGGAAACTGAGGCTGGGCCAGGGGAGGTCGTCCTAGAGGTGTCTTGGCTGGAGTCATCGCAGTGCCCAGCGGGCAGCCAGTCCCACACGCTGACCCGTCCAGGCCGGCCCTATGTGAGGTTCCATTGGCCATCTCAGTTCCGTAGAGCAGCCTGGTGAGTGACCCTCAGCTCATCCTGACCATGGTGGTGGACGCTGCACAGATGGACGGGCCAGCCCAGACTGCAGTAGCCCACGGGCCTGTGTCCTCCACGGGGAGCATATCCTGACTCAGGCTGCTGTCCTGCCTCGGGTACTTTCCTCTGGGGAGCCCCTGTGGAAGGACCAGCCCGGCCTTCCTCTGGGGCACAGGGCATGAATCAGAGCCTCTGTCCACAGCAAGGAGCCAGAGGGCGGGGTGCAGGCTCAGGCCAGAGCCCAGGACGCCTCCTCTGAGAAGCCCATCTGGGTTCCCAGTGGGGGAAGGGCGCTGGTTCAGTCAGTCCTGGGGTGCTGTCGGAGGGGAGGCGGGCTGGCTGGACACGGCCTGGCTGTGAGTGAGACCAGTATGCTGTTATCCTCCCACCAGTCCAGCCCCCAGGCAACTGGCAGACCCATCTTCGTGCTGGCTGGCTGCGTGGCCGAGCTCCCCTCTCTGGGCTCTGGGGTCCCCAGCCTGGAGGCGCGGGTCCCTGGGTGGAGTGAAACGGGGCTCAGGAAGAGAGCACCGGGGCCCTCCGCCCCCCACCTGGATCCTGGGCCCGCCTGGAGGCTCCCACGACGCCCTCAGCAGGGCCCCGGGCTGTTAGCGCAGCGTCCAGCTCCCAGGCAAGGCTCAGCCGTCCCAGGCAGGGGGAATGCGGGCAGGCAGACGCTCAGGTTCACCCCTGTAACTGTTTAGAGGGGAGCGAGGGAGGTCCTGCCCTGGGTGGCTGCCAGGGCTCAGGCATCTCTGCCCTGGCCAGGGGCCCGGTGGCCTGCGGGGGTGGGCGGGACGGGGCGGGCTCGGGCCTGGCCGGGTATGGGGGCGGGGCGGCCGGTTCCGGCTCCGGCTCTCGCGGAAAGGAGGGGGCTGCCCGGCGGCGGCGGCCCAGCGGCCAGTGCCTGTACTCCGGCTTGCACGCAGCTGCGGCCTGAGGTACAGCCTCCAGCAGGGCCTGGCCGCCCGGCACCTTGCTCTGCTTCCTGGCCCGGCGGGTGGCCAGGTCCTCTCTGTGCTCCCTCCTGCAGCCGGTGGGGGGGAGGGTGCTCCCTGCCACCTCAGGTG